TATTGCTCTCCTGGAGCTGTCAGATTTCTATTAATTACTTACCATGAAAACCGCTAACATTTTAGAGGAACTTTAGCGTTGAAATTATTCTCATTCAACTGCAAATCAAGTCGCGCCGTTTAGACAGAACTTCGTTTCACTGTTTTTACGCCCTGCCTCTGTCACTAGAAAAACATGCCAGTCTCCATATTGGTGCAGAAGAAAGGGTTCGGGTATCTCAGAGGGACACTCCTGCTTTAAGTACAGAAAACTGGGCGTGGGAGTGGTGGACTCCTATGTTCTCATTGTGCTTCTCTCAGGAATCTCCCCAGAACCTCTGCCCTACAAGTGAGCTGGGGTGAGAATAATCAGGGTCTACCTGTTCTTGGCCTGTAACACATGACATGGAAACCATGTCTCATGAGTGAGGCTGGGAGGAGAAAGGCATCCACCAAATCACAGACTGGAATTTAGTCTCCACCATAAAGATCTGACACCATGACCTCAGCTGAGATCTGGCGGAGAGGGAAGCACCACATTCTGGTCAGTCCAGCACAGGGTCAAGCTTCTGTGATCCTGAGATGTAAACAAGAGGGTAATGCTCTTCTCTCAAGTATTCTGGATCCTCATTGCACTTGCTGAGACTCTTTGAGTTGCTGTGAGAGAATACCACGGACTGGGTGGCCCAGAAATAACAGAAATGTATTTGTCCCGATTTTCAAGGCTGGGAAGTTCAAGATCAAGATGCCTTAGAGATTTGTATCTGGTGAAGTCCCAATTCTTTATTTATAGATGGCCACCTTCCTACCATGACCACACCTGGTGGAAGGAAAGAGGGAGCTCTCTGGGGTATTTTATCAGGGCGCTAATTCCACTCATGAGATGGAGCCTCAACACCTTTCAAATGAGATCAAAGGCCCCGCCTCCTGCTACCACCACATTGGAGTTGAGATTCCAACATATTCCTTATGGGGGTCATAACCATTCAGTCAATAGTAGCACATTATGTCAATCAATGGATTTCATTTACTATGTGTTCTTAGGATAATTTTCATAATATTACAGGTTGAGTTTCTATAATTTTTACCAGATTAGGTTGTCTCTTTGGAAAGCTTGAAGTTTCTCATGACATCACTCTGGTAATGAGATAACTCTATTCATATTCGTGATTGAAGCTTCCTCATTCGGTCCGTAAGCATTTGGAATGTTCTTCTCTTAAATCATTTGCCATGATGGAATAAACTTGTCCCCCTCATCAGTGTTATCATTTATTCAGAAATGCACTTTTTATATTTTAATATCGCAAATCCACCTTTTCTTTATCTTTATTTAACGTGATGTCTTTCAGTATATTTTAAAATTTGTAAGTGAATACGTTTAAAATTTAGGGTAATTTTAGATTTTAAGGAAAGCCCCCCGTAGTAGGGTGTGTTCTCGTGTACAACTTGCCCTGGTTCCCTCACACTGAGCCGCACTCTGTCAATGCTGGGTCTCTCTCCTGCCGTCTGTGGGACCCGCTCTCTGAACAGTGTTCTGCTACCCACTGTCTATTCTGTGGTCTCCACACTTCCTGGCCTGTCTGGGATCTCAGCTCCTTTTCCTCAACTTCAGATCTACCTGGTTCCACTTCAGCACTGTGGCCCGGAAACTCTCGTTAGAAAGTATCAGAGTGTGCATTCACCAGAGGGCTTGTTTTGTATATTTTCCCCCTCCCAGCAATCACTGTCTGTGTTAATTGATGTCACACATCTTAAAAGCATGTTTAAGACATTTCACTGTGTTTTACACTAATTTCTGGTGAAAAGATACATCTGGTCTCTGCTGTTAAACCTTTTTTGAAATAATAATCTTGAACATAAATATTAGTCAATTTTATAATGTTCACCAAGATTTATCTTGGGAAAAAATGCATATATATTTTAACTTCCAGGAGACATCCCTGCAGACGTACATTATGAAGTTTAGGTATTTACGTATTTGATAGACTTAATATTATACCTAATTTTAAAAATATTCAGAATATCTATATCTGTCACACAAGAAAGCACAAGGTCTACAATGCCCTAATAGAAAAACTTATTTGTCTTTCTCTGGGTTCTTCCTATGGAAATAGAGGGAGACATCTTAGGACTGATCCAGGAGTGCCTTCAGAGACCCTGCCCAGAACGTGACCCAGGAGGGATGTGAGGGATTTCCATCTCTGTGACTGGCATCCTGTCTCCTTCACAGGGAAATCTGGGATCTTCCTCCATCCCTCAGCTGGGCTGCTTCACCATTCAGGACACTGAGGGACAGACAGAGGGTGTGGCAGGCCATAGACATCAAAGGTCACAGTGCGGATGAGGATTGAGATGCTAACCTGCCCCAGTGATAACAGAGATCCCCGTGGGGCAGAGTCCCAGTAAATGATCTTAACCATGTGGGGATCTGTGTGCCTGCCTGAGAGAAGAGTCCACACGGGGACAGTGTGTGCCTGTCTGAGAGTGAAGGCTCATTCACGAAGGTGTCTACCTAGACTGAGGTTGTGTTTGGGGAAAATATTTCTCACTCAGGAGATAATGAGAAACTTGAGTGATTTGATTTGGAAAAGAAAAACAGATCATGTAGAAACCTCATTTAGGAAGAGTCACTGGACAATGTTCGTCAAAATATAGTTCATTTAGAAGGAATTTCGCGTTCATGCCCTTTGCAGGGACATTGATGAAGCTGGAAACCGTCATTCTCAGCCAATTAACACAAGAACAGAAAACCAAGCACCGCATGTTCTCACTCATAAGTGGGAGTTAAAGAATGAGAACATGTGGACACAGGGAGGGGGAACATCACACACTGGGGCCCGTTTGGGGGTGGGGGACTGGGGGAGGGATAGCATTAGGAGAAATACCTAATGTCGATGACAGGTTGATGGGTGCAGCAAACCACCAAGGCATATGTATACCTGTGTAACAAACCTGCACATTCTGTGCATGTACCCCAGAACTTAGACTATGATAAAAAAGGACATTCCTATCTAAGAAGTAAAGCACTGTCTTCTTATAGCCTAAATACTGCCATAACTTTTCCTAGACCACTTACAACATGAATATTGATAAGCTTTACAGATTAATTGGATGCCAAGATAATGGTGCCATTATTTTTCTGATACTTCACTAATACTTTATTATTTGACCAGTCCTCACTTAGAGACCTTTTGCATAAAATGTAATTTTTAATCGAATAAGCATTTCTACCATGAGACAAACTGTCTTCCTGGTGACTAAATATCCATCTTGATTTTGACATAATGTCCATGATATTGACGATTAAGTTGGCATTCTCAGAAAAAATTGACCCAGGTTCAAGGGGCTAACTGCAGAGTCATATTTATGTCCGTTTTGCTTCAAGATAGGGGGACCTGAGTTATAAACAACGTAGTGGGTGGTCTCCTCAGGGCTCCAAGCTGTGAAGGAAAATAAGACGACCCTAGATGGTGGTTAGAGGCTCCCTGGCTGGTTCCTCTCTGCACCTCCTCTTCACTGTGCCTCTGCCTTGGGTGAGTTCTGAGCATCTCCTGCTGGTCCTGTGCTGCCTGTGAAGCCCAGATAAAGGAAGTCTTGGGGATCTGCTTCTGAGATGCCAAGTTGTATGTCTGGTTCCTGGAAAATACACAGCAATGACTGGGAGCTGCATCTTGGATCTCGTCCATGTGACCTCGCCTGTGTAGGAGCCTCCTCAAAGCCCAGAGACGGAATCGGCTGGGGCCCTCCCTTCTCAGACATTACTGGAGGCAATTTTCTGAAAATCTAATTGTAGTTTGACTATATAATTCAGCAATCAAATTTTTTACTAATGTACTTAACTGACTATGTCCACTCAGTGAACCATACATGACTGTTCATTTGTATTTCCCAAATACTGAGCACATTAAAAAAAGAAAACCCTGATTCGTTCAGCAAATTATCGGATTTGAATCAGGAAACTAAGTGGTAACATTTTCTGTAACCAAACTTATGAATAAAAAAGTTAAGAAAATAAGGTCACAAAAATAAAACTTGTGTTATTACCTGGAATCTGACGGTGGTAATTTATATAATGGAGCTGCAGTGAGAAAGGCTACCAGGTGACCTCATTCTGAACCCGTCTTTAGAGCTGACAAGCAACCACCAGGAGTGCGGCAGCCCATAATTCCCCCACATAGGAAGACACCCAGCTCAATAAAACTTCACTTGGGGTCTCTGCAGGCTCTGAGGTGTGCAGGAGTGTGCAGGAGCAGCTCCTACCACAAAGTTTGCAGTCAGTCAAGTCTCCACTCCTTCCCTTGGGACATGAGACGTAGTGTAGACAAGGTCCAGACATGCTCTACTCAAGGTCTCTGCACATGGGTAAAAAATGCAGATGTGAAATTCGTGTTCTCAATCCGTGAAACAATACCCATGAAAAATGCAACTCTGTTCCAGGACATCACGCAGAATGAAGACATAATGCAACTGCGATAAATTTGAAAATTACAATTGCTTGTGGACTACACATTTTTTCATATGCCTTCCTATCAGTCATGTGAAAACGTGTATTCTGTATAAAAATCCACAGCATGTTGGCTCCGAGAATGCGCCTTCCTCCCTCCACCTACAGGCAGAACAACGCGCTTGGATCACGCACCCACCTGCTGCTCTCTGACGTCCGTGATGTGGCTCATGCTGAATCCCATATCCTGTGCCCCATTCTTAGGAACAGAGTGAGCTCTGCACTCATCTGAGGCGGAGCCATTGCTGGGAGTCATGCGGGTTTCCTGAGGGGCAACTTTGACTTGTGCAAAACTCTGTGATAATCTGGACTTTCTTTGCACAGCACATAAATGTAAGAAGGTTCCAACCAATCTTTCCTCACTCTCTCCTTCACTCAGGGACAGGCTTCCATCACATGCCATCAGCTTTCCCAGGCTTGTTTACCCTCCATGCATTTTCCCTCAAAAGGGTGGACGCCCTCCTTTGACCAATGTATGCAAACTCAATCGGCTACTGGAGATTTCTGCTCAGAAGATGAATAATAATACACATATTTTAGCAAAATTATTTATAACATGAGTCTGATTCTATTGTCAAATATAAACTATTAATTAATATTAAATTAATCTTGCATTAATATTAATATTAAAATAATCAATATAACATATTAATCATGGTAATAATCTATTTTGTGTGTCACCTTGACTGGGACAGAGTCTCAGTTATTCAATCAAACACTAATATAGGTGTTGCTCTGATGGTATAATACAGGTGTTATTAAAGCCTGTCATCACTTTTCTCTAGGTCAGGAAGATTGTCCTAGATGAACTTGTTCGGTTTGATTTAATCCTAGCAGAAGAGGAGACAATGGAACTCTATGGTGGACAGCAGCTGTAGGGCTTCCCAGGAATTCCAGCTTGTCCTTCCTGATGGCCGGCTCCACCGGCTCTGGCTGTGCCTAGCCAGACCTCACAATTGCTGTCACGCCGAGCTCGCAGCACAACAAAGTCATCCTCAGCTCTCCCAAAAATCACAGGTGAGGGGGAGCTCTGTGACAGGGTGAGAAGCACAAGATCATCTCGACATCAGTGTCCCATTTGAGGACACAACTAGGAGTGTCCACTTGTGCCCAAATGCGTCCATGCATAGAGGACAGCAGGGGCGTCCAGGCAACCGGGAATGAGAAAGACCCCTCAGCTTGCCAGGTCCTCAGGAGCCACAACCTGAGCCACACCTGAGTTCCAGGTAACGTATCTGAGGCCTGCGGTTTAGACCACAGGAAGCGCACCCTCCATTTTAAGAACAAAGGAGAAAAGGGAAGTGTAAGAATGAAAACTAGAGAAAAGGAAAATTGATTAGCAGAGAAAGGACCAAATGGATGAATTCTGAGTCAAATGTTCAGTTTTAAAGGATGATGGGATTACTGTGAAAACTGTCAGGATTCTAAGGACCCTGGCCCTGGATGGATGAACCTCCCCCTTGGTCCCAATCTGAATCCAAAACCCTGTTCCAATCAGAGATTCCCATGGAGACACCTGCCCTGAGTCTGACTGGAAAACACTCCCCAGGTTCCCCTGAGCTTCCTCGGGACTCTGATTCTGGTGACCAGAGAGGGTCATTTCTGTGCCCAAAGTGACACTCAGGCTTCCGTGGTGGTGAGAATGTGTCCTCTTGTCACAAAAGCAAAGAAACACCGGGGAAAAAAGTGTCACATTCAGAGACATTAAGTGTGAGTACAGAATTGTAAATCTGAAAGGGTCTCTGAGGAAACTTGATGATGAGGCAGCCCCAGATGCTGAGAGAAAGTCAGCCTTTAGCACCACCAGCCCCTGCCACAGAGAACAGCCCAGTTCACAGGGCCCAGGACACCCCCTCGTGGTCTCAGATGCCCTGCAGCGAGGTTTTTGTCTGGGCTCACGCTGACTTCCCCTCACTGTGTCTGTAGTACAGTAATACACAGCCGTGTCCTCAGCTCTCAAACTGTTCATTTGCAGATACAGGGAGTTCTTGGCGTTCTCCCTGGAGATGGTGAATCGGCCCTTCACGGAGTCGGCGTAGTTTGTGCTACTCCCATCACTATTAATACGTGAGACCCACTCCAGCCCCTTCCCTGGAGCCTGGCGGACCCAGTTCATCCAGTAGCTACTGAAGGTGAATCCAGAGGCTGCACAGGAGAGTCTCAGGGACCCGCCAGGCTGGACCAAGCCTCCCCCAGACTCCACCAGCTGCACCTCACACTGCACACCTGCAAACACAGAGACACCCTGGTCAGAAACTGCCACACAAATCCATTGCTTATCTCACTCATGTCCATTCACACTCCATATCTCTAGTTTTCCGTCAATCACCTTCTAAAATAGCAAGAAGGAAAATCCAGCTCAAGCCCAACTCCATGGTGAGTCCTGTGTGCAGTCCTGATCAGCAAGCAGAAGCACTTGGGAATCCCGGGGCTGGGGCTCCTCTCCCACATCTGCAGGGCCAGGGTTTGGCTGGTTTTCATCAGCAGGGGAGGGCCCTATTTGCATAACTCCTACTATATAGCAAGCTCTGGGGCCAGACACCTGAGGAGAGGGCAGGGCCCAGAGCAGATGAAAGTGTCGTGAGGAGAAGATGGGTGACAACAATGGGATTCGAGAAAGTGTGCTTAATATGAAACTGTGCTGTGATAAAACCTTTGCACTGATCGCCTTATTTCAGATTCACCTATGTGTGTAAATTATGTTCTGTAGGAGTCAATGTTCTCTATTTACAGATGTAAAGTAAACCCACACATGGATGGGCTCCGTATGTACCTAAGAGATCATGTCTGGTATCTGGGCCTGCGCTTCTCACCACTGGCCCTGACTCCTCCCTTAGCCAACTGCAGGACAGAGCTGGACATGCCTAGTGTGGTTTGCAGAAGCCACTGCCTAATCAGAATATCTGTGATTTTGCTGCACTCTCCTGTTTACCTTAAACTATGGAGAGAACTAGGGTTCAGGTAGATAAATTTTCAGGTATCTCTGACATTTAAAATACTGGTATCTATCTTTCTGTTACTCCCACATTGTCTAATTTTCAACTTGTCTCCACATAATAAATTTTATAATATTTGACTGATAGATTATAAACTTTACATATTTAAAGTGTAAAATTGATCATCATTACATAACTATTACCATGATAAAGAAGGTGGACAAGTGAAATTCCCTCAACTTCTTTTCTGTCCTTCTACTTCCTATTTCTATTTCCTTATCCTTTCTCCTTCCCTTCTGCCAACATATTCCTAGGCAACTACTAATCTTCTTTATATTACTTTACATCAGTTTTTATTTTCCAGAATTTTAAAAAATAGAATCATACATACTCTTATTTGTTTGGCTTATTTTACTCAATTTAAATACTTGATAATTTAATCTTCTTATTGTGTGTATCGGTCGTTCCTTTATTATGAACGATGGGTAGTATTCCAGTAAACAAAGTTACCATAATTTGTTTTTCTATCAGGCAGCTGATCAATATTTGGATTCTTTTATTTTTGGTGTTACTAAAAATTTTATTATTCAGATTTGAAATGTACATAGATGAGAATTTCTTTTTTTTTTACAACAACAATAAAATCAACAATAACTGTTAAACAGAGAAAATGGACTTTTGCAAATTGTCTTTAATACTTCGGATCATTGAAATTTTAAGACAATCAACAAACCTGAAATCTAGAGAGAGACAAGTTCTTGTAGGGAGAATCAAAGCGAGGGTGTGAGCTGAACTGAGGCAGAGTTCACCAAATGAAATACAGGCTAGTACAAGATAAAATACACTAATATACATTGAAGTGCTTTGAGTTGAGTGTGGTAAGCATGTTTTTAGTGTGAAATTCTCAGGGAACACATACTGAAGAGTTTTTCTATTCTTTTGAATGCCTTTCCCTTATAATGAGAATAGCCACAAAAATTTTCCCTTCCCAGAGTGTTTGTCTGGGGTGTATCTGAGCTCACACTTCTGAAATGCTTCCAGAGCCAAGTCTCTTACACCCACTACAGAACTAAGAAATTACTCAACGGGGCAAACCACCAAAACCAGTAACGTAAAGGCCCTGGTTTAACCCCTCGGGAAATGAGGTGGGAAGACAGATCCCACCAAAGTCCTACCGGGAAGCAGCTCCCCTCTCTTACGGAATCAGAGCCTTAGTCTGCAGGGCGGGGCAGGGCAGCAGATCTGGGAGGTGGAGACACCCACGGAGAACACCGCAGCTGCGGGAGGGAACACCTGGAGAAACGGGGGGCTCTACCCCAGGGGAAGCGGAGCCGCGCAGCAAAGCAGAAAGGAACCCCCATGTCAAACTTCGGGGTCCCAGCGAGGGAAAAGGAAATGGCACCACATTGCAAACCCGGGCAGCAGCTACTATGCCACCCCGCCAAGGGTGCGGGGGTTCCTGGGCCTCGGCAGGCTCTGGACGGCTGCCCGGGCCGCATCCCCAGGGGTCTGCCTCATGGCAGGGTGACCACGGAGGCTGCCACTCCCGACCACTGGCCGGGGTAGTGATCAGCTCTGCCAGGCCTCCCTGGGCACCGGGGCAATGGGGAGAGTTTGTGGAGATGTCACCCCTGCCCTGGACACCGGCCAGGGCCCAGCGAGGATCAGGAGCCCCTGCCCAGGCTGCGAGGAGGGGCAGAGGGAACTGATGCTCCACAGAGCCGGTGGGAGCCAGGAGCAGGCAGCAGCCCTGACCGCTCAGGTGCGGCTCCAGCTGCCCCAGTCAGGGCAGTAGACTCGGCCTCTGTGCTCTTGGAGGTCGGGAACAGGCAGGAGCCCTGCGCTCCTGGGTGCTGCTGCAGCCTCCCAAACCATGGCTGAAGCCACGGGCCTCTCCCTCCACGGAGCAGGTAGAAGCCCTGCCCCTGCAAACCGGGGGCTGCAGCCTCAGGCCTCCCTGCAGTCTTGGGGTCCCCAGGAAAAAGTCTGCTCTTGTATGTTCCGAAGTGCCTGCTCCCACTTCCTGGCTTCTTCCTGCTGTTGGCCCCTGCTCTGATCTTGGGAGAAAGTCTGGGGGAGCCCCACGGGCCTTGAACAGCAGCAGGAGGCAGGAAGGTTCCTGGGCACAGGGGGCGGGTCCCTAGGAAGGGCCTGAAGGCCTGAAGGCTGGGCCCGGGCTTCCAGATCCGCAGACCAGAGTCGGGACTTGTGGTGCCTTCTATGGCCCACCCATGACCACCCGTGGACCGGTGGGCACGCACTTCCTTCTCTCGGAGGTCCGTAAAAACCCCTGGGCTCAGCCAGAGCAGGACAGAGGATGGAGAGACGACAGGAAGACCAGCTGTGGAGAGGAGCTGCTCTCTCTGCTGAGAACTGGGAAGACCACAGGATGACCAGCTGTGGAGAGGAGCTACCTTCTCTGCTGAGAGCTGAACACTCAACCGGTCATCTTGCCTGCAGAGAGGAGCTAGTCACTGGAGGTCTCCTCTGAGAGGCTCTAATGCTTCATGAAGCTAGTCTTTGTCTTGCTCACCCTCCACATGGCTGCATACCTCATTCTTTCCAGATGTAGGACACGAACTGAGGCAAAGTCGCCACTGGCCACGGAGGGTTCTGGGCAGAAAAAGCAACACCCCAGTGATCCCAAAACAACTGTAGTGAATACTGTAGGCCATGGTAACACAGTAGTATTTGTTTATCTAAACATAAAAAATGTATCGATAAATAAGGAAGCATATTATTGTGGAACCACCGTTGTTTGTGCCTTCTGTTACTACCAGAAACTTTGTTATACAGAGCATAACTGTATTTAAATTTCTGGGGGAAAAAAAAACAGCCACCCAAGAACATATAATTGATAAAACACTTCTTATGAAATGAAAGATAGATAAATACTTTCCCAGGCAAAGAAATACTGAAGAAATTAATCATCTCTAGAATTACCTCACAAGAAACGTCAAAGGGTCTCCACTAGGTACCCAATAGAATGCAGCTCCTGTTTCAGTCCACTCTGGCATCTGCCCTGTGATTGTTCTGTGTAGATTTACTTTCTGCTGTCTTAGGGTTTCTCCTGTCTTAAGTCATGTCTCCCTTCCCCTCCTTATTTTAAGCCTATCACCAAAATTTGTGTTTAGCTGGGAACACTGGAGGCTCTGAAAGAGATTTTTATCTATTCTTCACCAGGTCTAATGAGTTCTGTCTATGGGTGTCCACGTCTGTATTGTTTTCTTGCATTTCCGTGGGAGGATGTCCTTGTTTCTTGAGTACTTTCAGTACTGTGTTGAATAAGTGCTGAGAGTTTGCATCCTTGTCTTTTCCAGTTTTCAAAAGAAAAGAATTATTTTCTGTTAAGTATGATGTTAGCTATGGACTTGTCATGTGGCCTTTATTGTGTTGTTCTTTATTTCTGTGCATAATTGAGAGTTGTTTTCCATGAAGAGATGTTGAATTTTCATCTTCTGCATCTATTAATATAGAAATATGGTTTTTATCCTTCATTCTATAGATGTGATATATCATGTTTTTTGACTGTGTATGTTGAAGTGTAATTGAATCGCTGGGTTGAATCCCACTTGGTCATGGTGCATTATGATTATTATTATTTGAAATACTGTTTGGTGTGCTAGTATTTTTAGATTTTTAAATTCATGTTCAACAGGATGTAGGTCTTTTACCTAAGTCCATCTGATTTCTTTTTATTGGTATGTTCAGGCTTTCTATTCCTTCTTTTTTAATCTTGTTAGGTAGTATGTGGCCATGAATTTATCCAATTCCCCTAGGTTTTCAAATTTATCACATAGACTTATTTATTATAGTACTTCATAATTTATTTTGTTCTGGGATATCAGTTGAGGCATCTTCTGCTTCTATTTTTTTATTTGGGTCATAGCTCTCTCTCTCTCTCCATATATATATATATTCTTTTTTTTGTTAGTCCAGCTACTAATGACTTTCAACTTTGCTTATCTTTTTTGCTATTTTAATATTTTCTTGTATTTTTAGTCTTAATTCTGTTTATGTCTAATCTGTTCTTTGTTGTTTTTTAAAATAATTTTGAGTTTAGCCTTTTCTTGTTCTTACAGTTCTCTGAGATGCATTATTATGATGGTTATTTAAAATATTTCTGCTTCTTTGATGTGGGCATTTATTGCTATGTATTTGCCTCATAATACTGGTTTGGATAAGTGCCATAAGATTTGGTATGTTGTGTTTCTATTTTATTTGTTTCATACATTTTTATATTTTCTTCTTAATGTCTTCTTTCACCCATTGGCCACGTAAGCATATTTTGTTTAATTTTTGTGTTTATATAGTTTTGAAATTTTCTCTAGGCTGGGCAGTGGCTCACACCTGTAATCCCAGCACTTTTGGAGGCCAAAGACTGGTGGATGACTTTAGGTCAGGAGTTCAAGACCAGCCTGGCCAATATGGTAAAACCCTGTCGCTACTAAGAGACAAATATCAGCTGGGCATGGTGGCAAGCACCTGTAATTTCAGCTAATTGGGAGGCTGAGTCAGGAAAACCATTTGAACTTGGAAGGCAGAAGTTGCAGTGAGCCAAGTTTGTGCCACTGCACTCCAGCGTGGGCAACAGAGCAAGAGTCCATCTCAAAATAATAAAAAAAAGATTTTCCTCCAGTTACTGATGATTAGTTTGATTTCATCTTTAATCTGATAAACAG